CTGTGTTCCAGGAAAGAGAAGTGTATTTGCATATTAATAGAAAACCGTCAGTGCAGAAGCCGCCAGGGGGAGGTCTGATAAGATCACAGGGCTGCTTTGGCGACATGCTTCCCTTCTCCACCCCGCTGGGCCACGGTTCAGGTGGTGGGCAGAACTCTGGGGGCTTTAGTGACCTACTGGCAAAGCCAGGGCCAGCAAAACTGTGTTCCAGGAAAGAGAAGTGTATTTGCATATTAATAGAAAACCGTCAGTGCAGAAGCCGCCAGGGGGAGGTCTGATAAGATCACAGGGCTGCTTTGGCGACATGCTTCCCTTCTCCACCCCGCTGGGCCACGGTTCAGGTGGTGGGCAGAACTCTGGGGGCTTTAGTGACCTACTGGCAAAGCCAGGGCCAGCAAAAAACCTCTCGCCCCCCTGGCTCTGCTCAGCTCACTGCACTTGGCAAAAGGAGGGAATGGCGCCAGTGGGGAAACTGAGGCACGGAGCATGGCAGGGACTTGCCACATCTCGACAAAACAGGAGTCCAGATGCCCAGGCCCTGCTCGAGATCCCGATATCCCTCCCTGGGCTGGGAAGGGAACCCAGGAGACCTGACTGCCCGTCGGCTGGTCTACGTGACCCTGCGGCATATTTAAGGTCAGAAGCTGATGGCGTCAAGAACACATTTAACTGCTGGAAACCAAGAGTCACCTTCACACGTGGAAGCTAAAGTTAGCCTCCTAGACCCCAGTGGTAGGTGCCCAAGCGACCTGCTTTGCTGAAGCAGGCCACAGACGTCCCAGCTCAGCACCTCTGCAAACCACACCTCTGTGAACCGCACGAGTCGGGTGCGAAGGGTGGAAATGCTGGCCTCGGCCCAGAGCAAAATCAGGCAGAAGGGGCAGGGCCGGGGCGCCTGGGTTCCTTTCACAAATTGGGTAGTGGCGCCTAGTGATTATAGCAAGGGGGACTGGGAGCAAGAACTTCTGGGTTCTACCGCCCGGACTGGGAGAAAAGTCTCACGGTTACAGGGCTCAGGTCTCCTGGGCTCTCTCCCTAGCGCTGCCCCTGACTAGCTACGTAACTTCGCATCAGTTGCTGCGGTGGCGTGTGCCTCAGTTTCCCCAATCTGGAACGGGACGACAACCACCTCCAGCGGCGCCGCCTTAGCAATGTTGGCACCGAGGGTGCCCGGCTGCATGGGAGGCATGGGCACGGGGCGGTGGGGAGCATGACACGAGGCTCAGCTAACACCAGGCGACCGCTCGGCACGAACCAAAAGCGCAGAGCCAGGGCCAAGGCAGATGCGTCAAAACCGGAACAGAGCAGAACTCGCCAGCCCTGGAGGAAAACCAGGGGAGAACCGGGGGGGGGGGGGGTGAACCTCTATGCCAGCAGATGCCCCTCCCCACTCTTGGCACAGAATCTTCAGACAGGGCCCCGAAGGAGAGTCAGGATCCAGGACTCTTGCCTCTCCTCTCAGTCCCTGGCTTTAACCACTACACCCATCTCTTCCCCAGCTACCCCCTGTTCCATCTCCCTCCCCAGCGCGAACAAGCTGCCAGCCTGAGCGCCAGGTGACTCCGACGCGGTTGGCTGCCTCCTCAATGCAGAACCTGGCTAAGTTCAGAGAAGGCAGGCGCCCCTCTGTTGCCCTGGCCGGCTCCCTGCCTGCTGCCCCCGGGGCACGGAGCCAGGGTGGGCTAGCAGCCCCCTCGCCCCGCTAGGAGACAGGCCAAAGCACCTACCACGCCCCTGACCAGCCTGGGCACTCACCAGGGAAGGGCCCAAGTCAGTGCTAGCACCGGATGCGAGGCAGGATGCGGCGGCCTGCCTGGTGTGAGCTGACACTGGAAGGTTTAGGTCTTGGATGCCCCTCCTACCATGGGGAACTCGCAGCCTGGCACACTGCCTCCCTGGCCAGACCCCCTGGGGGACTGAACTCTTGGAGGCTGGGGCAGAGAATGCCAACGAGAGCTGGCTGGAGCCCGTTTTGCAGCGTGGTGCAGAGACTGCAGCAGGAAGGCAGCATGGCCTAGCGGATAGAGCCCTGGACTGAGGCGCCAGCTACGTTATGCACACAGCTGCGACCACGGCACGCGGAGGAAGCCCGGGGGATGCTTTGATCTAGCTAGCTCAGAAATCGGCAGCCGTGAAGCCCTGGATGCATAAGCTAGCTGCTCAAGGGTGCCCCCATGATCACCCGCCGCCTCGTGCAGCTTCCCTGCTGTTGGCACTGGAGCCTGCTACCTCACAGCTGGCGGGGTTATGCCTACACGAGTTCCTGTGCGTGCTGTAGTCAGAGGCATGACTGCAGCAGAGACAGACTTTGAGGTTCAGGAGATCTAGGGACTATTCATAGCTCTACTGCTGGGTGACCT